AAAGAGAATAGAAATGAAAAAGAGAATAGAAATAGAAATGTTTGACAAAAGAAGGGAGAAAAAGGGGGGAAGTTGGTCCAATGAAAAACGTCAGTAATACCGCCCCTTCAGCCTTCCTTGAGAAAAAAAAGATTTGAGACGTGGGGTGGAGAAAAATGAGAATGCTCGAAAAGAGAAATTAAAACATGCTTTCGTTGCTTTTAAAATGCTTTCGTTTCATCGATTTCATTTCCAATTCTTCTTGAAAACGAATAAAAAAGTAAACTTTGAAGTTTAAAATTCGAAACACAAATTTTCTAATGCACTTCATTTCATTAAATCCCTTCATTTTCTCATTTAGAAAGAAATCTGAAAAATTCAGTGCACTAGAAAATGTGTGTTTTCAATTTTAAGCAGGAAAGTCTACGATAAGTTTAGAAAGCTAATAAATTTGTTTGTTCTTGTTAATTTTTTAAATGAAAACCTTACCTCAAAAGTCACAGTTCCATCGGGCAACAAATCACCGCCATAAACGACATTCACACTCTGTTTCCCGGCTTCAAGTGCACGCAAACGAACGTGGTCCTGAAAAATATATTGATAATTCGATTTTTATACAAATGCTACATAATATTTACTAATAAAAAGATAATATTGAGTTGGTGCATTGAAAACTATTGCGACTGCGGCCATTGCGACTGCGGCCATTGCGACTGCGGCCATTGCGACTGCGGCCATTGCGACTGCGGCTATTGCGACTGCGGCTATTGCGACTGCGGCTATTGCGACTGCGGCTATTGCGACTGCGGCTATTGCGACTGCGGCTATTGCGACTCGCAGATAAAGAAAACAACAACATAGAAAGCTTTTTTGTTTACTTCAACATTTCCTCTAATTATTGCGAAAAAATTATCCTTCCAGCTTTTTATTTTTTAGTATTTTTCTTCACTTCTTCTATTGCACTCGACAATCTGCCACCAAGACATATTCGTCATGTCATGCTTCATGAGTTCATGAGTTCTTGAGTTTGAACTTTGAGTTCCTACAAGAGCACAGTGCAGGCTTGGCAGCTGCTAATATTAAAAAGATATATGGGACTCACCTTCCGAAAGAACGTGTCAAGTATGGTTTGCCAAGTTTTGTTTTGGGAATAAATCTTTGAAAGATGCAGAGAGCCGTGGAGTGGCACCCCAATTGGATGACTCCAAATTACTCGAACTTATTACCAACGACCATCGGATGTCATCGCGTGAATTGGGAGAAGAGTTAGGGGTTGATCATGCTACAGTGCTAAGGCATCTTCATACCATTGGATTTAAATCGAAACTTGGGGCTTGGGTGCCCCATGACCTCACTGACCCCCAGAAGTGGCAGTGCGCCTCGATCAGTGCCGTCCATCTCTCACAATACAAAAGGAAATCTTTTCTTCCTCGAATTGTGATAGGAGATGAGAAATGGGTTTTATCTGTGAACTTTCGGAGGAACCGGCAATGGGTGGGGCCAGGCGAGAAACCCGAAAGTGACCCTAAGCCTGATTTGCACCAGAAGAAGTTTATGCTCTGCGTTTTCTTGGATATGGAGGGAGTAATGGGAGTCGCTGGATAGCAAGACGATGGCAGAAGTCTTCAATAATAATGGAAATTATTTGGAATGAATTTATGGGTTTTATGTTGTATAAATCTTAGTTCAAAGTCCCGCAATTTTCAATGCACCAACCCAATAGTAGGATTTATTTTCGACCTGAATTTTCCCGTCAACTCTCTTCTGAATGATCTCGGCCATAAGCGCTTCTGGATGAGATTTGAGAAGTGAGAGATGAGCCTCAAGCTCGTCTTCATCTCGCTCGATTATTAGGAACTTATCCTCACCCAACAACCATTCATCATCAATTGGACGCACTATAATAAGCAATGTTTAGTACAGTAGCTAGAATTTTCCAGCTTCACTAATCCTTGAAAGCTTTCTAGAACTTTCTAGAACTATTAGGTTGATGCATAAGTCTTTTCGTTTTTTTCGTACTTCTGTTAAAAAGTAACAAATTCACCAATTAATCTATAGTTTGCTCTATAAAAAAAGTGTTTTTTTGTTCAATTTGCATCTTTTTAAATGAATTTCGGTTCACTTTCAAGCAAATTCGAGAGTGAAAAACGCCTTTTTCGTAAAAATCTATAAAAAACTCTACGGAAAAATTGGCTGAATGAATTTCTCTGAAATTTTGGCGAAATATCAAACGTTTTTTTCTCTATCTTTTATCTATTGACACGAAGATAGGTTTTCTTTAGCTAAGGTGTCTAAACCGCATCATCGAGTTAGCCCTCTTTGACTACCCGACTTCATACTCTCAAGAAAATCCAGGCATTAAATATTTTTAAACCCGTTTTAATGTTATTTTGCAGAAAAATAATTGGTTTTTCTAATGAAATCAACCGTAGTTTAATTCGTGCATTTGTTGGCTTGAAACGGCAGACGAAAAGGAACAAAAACACTTATGCATCAACCTATTAGTAATTTTCGTTTTAGTTTGTCTACTGTGATTCTAGGGTTCACAAAAGATATCAAAAGATATCTACAGTTTTTCGCCGTACTCCAGCGTACTCGTAATCCAATAGACTCCTACTCCAGTACTAGATTGGATAAAGTAAGCAAGATTAGAGAAGTTTTCGAAATTTGACACTAAAATGAACTAGTTTAGAGGTACACTATGGCTAGTTCGAATCGGCTAAAGTGACAAAACAAACTAAACTATATTAGAATACTTTCTTCAACGAACCCTTCACTCTCGCATTTCCCCTACATTGCCCATTACAGGTCTCAGCGTGTATTCTCACCGGTCTTTTCCGATATCTTTTCCCCATTCACAAGTGCATCCACTGCATAAACTCCGGCTAGATCGGTGGGGAAATGGATTGAATGAAGCCGATCACCAATTTCCTTCTGATTGTACACGACGAGAGTGACCATCAGGTCCCTGGAATCAAAAAGTGAAGGAATTAAACCCTTGACCTTCTGCTTTCCAATTGCTCTAACCACTGAGCTATCCGATAGCTTGTCAAGAGAAAGAGGGAAAGTCAAGGGGAAGAAGGGAAGAAGGGAAGAAGGGAAGAAGGGAAGAAGGGAAGAAAGGAAGAAGAGAAGAAAGGGGAAGAAGCGAAGGAAATGGCTCTTCAGAACCGTGATCTTCCGCTCTACTTAAAATGTAAAAACGTACAGTGATTGCAGTCGCAACTTTTTTCACTTGACCACAATCATTCGTATTCAATTGTAGATATATAACTGATCCAGCAGAGACAACACTTCCATCTCTAGTTGCTTCCAAATGTGCTTTTGTGGCTCACATAAGAGGCGATCAAAGTGTATAGTCAAGAATGGGCTAAAAAGTAAGATTTTACAATCAGAAAACTCTACGGTTTTAGATTGAGTTAAATATTCTTCTAAAATATTCTTCTAAAATACTCTTCTAACCTTTCTTTCAATGGTTCTCCATCATATGAAATTTCTAATGGAATGATGTCACCCGGTTTCCCGTGTGGTCTAATCTCTCCACCACATTTACAACACCCCGACGACTGCTCAGACTCACGGACACTGGGTTGGTTTTGATCTAAAGTTAGTTATTTAGCAGTTATTAGCAGATCCGATAGATCCATCTTTATCTTTTCCCTTTCTCCTACCTGGTGGAAATCTTACTGTCACCTCTCCGGCAGCTGTTTTTGAGGCATCAACCAATAATTGTATCTCGTCGCGCCAAGACGATGCTAAAGTTTCGATTTTGATTTTGCTTTTGTTCATCTTCATATCTTCACCCTTCCTCATTGTCTCGCGGCTCAATCTTGATCTTACTATTGTCTTTCTTTGTAGTCAGCGAATGCCATAAAGCGATGAGCCTAAATTGATCAAGAAATCAATTCAGTTTGATCTACCGAACCTGGTATATGCTTTTTCTCCTCTCCACATACAAGATCGCGATTTGATAATCGCCGGGTTCTTTTCAGGTGATGTAATCGACTTTGCATCGATCCATTCTGGAAATCTGTTACTTGCGTCTCTCTTCCATTGGGCCGCTGATCTCCAACGCGAGAGCGCACCATCGCCTGCGCCCTAAAAATCGTTTATGAAATACTTTTGTAAGTTCTACCATCATCGATGTTCGTACTAGACTTGAGAAGAGCTCTGAGAAGAGCTTGAGACTTTAGAAGTTACCTAGAAGATTTTAGAAGAAGTAGGCAAAACTGTCCCAACCAGTCCACCAAAGAGCTCAACAGAAAACCTTTTGTTATCTTTTACTTGCAAAACACCTCTTTCCCCACTTCTACAAACCTCCGGTATCAACCTGAAACGTGGCCTTCTCTCCGACAATCGCTTTTTCCAATCCAGGTCCATTTGCACAACACTTTGACGCATCTGTCCTTGATGTACACGAA